CTATAGGCACCTATTAAAATGTCATTAGCTATTTTTATATTAGGTATTATGGAACTCATTATCAGAGTCATGTGTCATTGCGGTCTTAGTAGTTCGACGTTTTATGTTCGCTATTGTCAATACCTTTAGGTATTATAAAGTTATAGTTTGCATTTTGTTAGAATAAAATATTAATCATGAATAATAGTGAAAGAGTACAGTTGCTATTGATCTACGGAAAATGTAACAGAAATGCACGAGAAGCAACGAGAATGTACGCTCAGCAATATCCAGATCGGTATCACCCCAATCGTACTTACGTTCAAAAACTTGAAAAGTTATTGATCGAAACTGGTTCATTTAATAGAACAAATGCTGTTCAACAACAACCACGCGTAAATCAACATGTTAATGAAGTTATTGAAAATCAAGTTTTAGCGTATGTACATCTTAACCCACGTTCATCTGTTAGACACGTCGGGCATGAAGTTGGCATACCTAAAACTTTAGTTCATAAGATTTAAAAAAAAAATAAACTACACCCTTACAAACCAGACTTAGTCCAACATTTACGCATAACAGACCCAGAAAAAAGATTAAATTTTATTTCTTGGTTTATGGTGATGTCTGAGGATGATCCATTATTAATTAATCATATTTTGTGGACTGATGAAAGTAAATTTACTAATAATGGAATATTAAATAAGCAAAATAATCTTTATTGGTCGAATGAAAATCCTCACTGTACTGTTCCTACAAACTTCCAAACATGTTGGGGTACAAATGTTGGTTTGATTGGTGGTAAGTTACTTGGGCCCCATTTTTATGACGGAACTTTAACGGGAAGAATAGATACTTAGATTTTTTGCATGATGACTTGCAATTACTTCTTGATGATTTACCATTAGATGTATGTAGAAACATTTATTATCAGCAGGACGGGGCACCTGCTCATAATGCCCGAATTGTCCAAGAATTGTTGAGAGTAAGATTTGGCGAAAAATTTATTGCAACACACGGGCCAGTAGAGTGGCCCCCAAGGTCACCAGATCTAACACCATTAGATTTTTTTTTGTGGGGACACTTGAAAAATGTTGTGTATACTGATCCTCCAATCAACATACAAGATTTAAAGAATAAAATTACACACGCATGTTACCTCCTAAACGAAAACTAAATATTGGTAGCAACTAATCGTGAATGTTTACGTCGATTTGAGGCATGCATTTTACACGACGGAGGGACTTTCGAACAGTTTATTGAATAGTTTATGTTTGTAATTTCTGTAAATTAAATTGTAAATAAAATGTATAGTAATGTTAAAAAAAAAAATAAAATAGAAATTTTGTTTCTTGAAAATACATGTTTAAACTTAGTTATTTCATAATGCGTAATAATAAAATAAGATAATAATTCATAAATAGTAAATAGTTAATTGGTTTAATAATAATAATTTTGATTGTTTGTTTCACGGTGCTTAGAAGACAAAATAAGTACGTACAGTTAGAAAAAAAAATTAATTGAATTGAATTTTTAAATTTTTTAAATTCTACTTAGCTCTAGTTTAGCCAATTTTGGGTTTAGGACACAAGTTGATGCATCAAAATGGCTTGAAAAAATCGATGAACCCGAATATGTTATTAAAATTACGGGTTGCTTTTTAAAAAAATGTAAGTTTTATTGCGCATGCGCAAGATACATGAGTTAAAAACATTGTAAGTCATAGAAATTTACGATCCATTAGTCTAGTTTTATGTCCCGCAAACAGAATTGAAAAATATTTACATGGTAATGAGTGGTAAAGGGGCCCCTGATTTTTGGGACACACGGTATATAACATACATATATATATAATACTGTATATATAAATTATAAATATTTTAGTTTGAAAAAAATTAATTTTTTTTAACTCAGTGAAGTTTATATTATTTTCCATCTTAACTTTGAACTTATTGAATATCGAGTTAAATATTTTCTTTGTTAATTTTTAACTTAAACTGAAGGCAATTTAATTGAATTAACTTAACTTATCACAATTAATTATTTTGACTAACTTTCCCAACCTCTAATGAAAATAAAGCAGTCTGTGATATTCGGAAAGTGGGCAAATGTTGGTAGTCATAGATTACAGGATTGTGATGTTTCACAAGACAACCATGGTAGTTGCGATAACGATGGTAGTCTTGGGTGGTCGTAGGTATAATAGTCGTAGTCTCATATAACAGGAAAGTTCCAATAAAAATAAAAACTGTTATATTTTACGTGTAGCACAAATGCCTGTGAATGATATAAAAAAATTTAATTAAAAGATTTTGATTAGAACAAGGTATTTCATTTGTTAGGTCATGTCTGGTTGCACCATGAATAAAATATATATTATGCAATTTATGAATTCATGCATGTATTTAAATAGTTACTAAAATCTTCATGATTTCGAAAATTTGTGGATTAGTGCTTCACTGACAATAAGTCGGTAAGTCTAACCATGATAAAAATGTATCCTCTTTTAGTACCCCCAGAAGTTAAGCAATGCACAAATAACAAAATGTATTTAATTATTCAGTTTATAACTGCACAAAATACCTCTAATACTAACACTGTGTTTTTTAATATGATACACTATCACAATGACATAATTTATGGTTTAACATAACTAGACTAGACTATCATTTTCAAATGGATATAAAAGTAGTAAAAGGTATTTCAATTCAATTTATAATTTGTAGCACAATTATTCAGAACAATGGTAAATACAAGTTGTTTTTCTAGATATAGATAAATAGGTAGTTTAACCCAAATAATAATTAAATTTATTAATAATATTTATAATAATATGAAAACAAATTTATAGAATTAAATCTTAAATAAAAAAATTAAATAAAAAACTAAGAGCTAAATTTAATTTGAAATGAGATTTTCTAAAAAAGAGTTAGTAATAGGTATAACTTATGATAATCTGGAATATTGTAATATTAAGCTTATAATAGTAAATGAAAAACATTTTAAATTTTAATGTCCCTATAAAAGTCACAAAATCCCAATTTTTAACCACCTAACTAATGTAAGATGTTTGTATTAACTGTAATAAGTAAAGTAAGTACTTATGTTGTTCACACTATGAATGGTTATTGTTTGTATTTTATAATTTTTATGAGAACATAGAATCGTGAAGTTGGGCAATGTTATCTTCTCTTGATTGTCGATTTTTCAACTCTTGCTTGTACAATTCATACATTTCATTATCAGTCTTCAATTCAAACTTACAAAGCGGACAAAAATTACTCTGAAAAATAAAATAAATATTTTAACAATCAATAGGTCACTTATCAAAAAAAGTTGTTTCATTACTTTTTCTAGCCAAGTTTTTAAACAGTTTTCGTGAAATATATGATTGCATGGCATATTTAGTGCTTCATCATTCGGTTGATATTGACATAAACAGATTCGACATTGTTCATCTAATAGGTAATAAAAACATTTTCAGTAAATATTATTTTTCTGGGTACCTTTTGGTTATTGCCACTACCAACTTAAGCACATATCTATTATAGACTCAGTCATTCGCTTGTTCAGCCATTTAAATTTGAAAACATCATTCAACTTAAAAGGTATTTAAAACCATATTGAGTAGTTCTAGAATAAGGTTAGGTTACTCCATGACCTATCCAAGATGGTTTTTCATTATAATAAATTGAGGGATGTTTACTATGGCTGGTAGTCTTGATGACCGAAAAGTATTTAGTGATACAATTAATACCTATTAGCTCCTCAAATGAAGGTGCTTTTAGTTTTTCTATTTCTGATTTTGATGCAGGAGGTGTGTTTTGAAAATTGATAATGTCACCGTATCGTGCTGGATCGTGGTCGAACAGCATTCTAAATGTTTCTCTCGTTAAGCGTTCTATACGAACGGTAGGAATTTCATCTTCTTCAACGTGGAGTTCATCAAAATAGCTTGCCATAACTAGATTTTTAAAACATAAATATGCTAAATGTCATACACAAATAGATACCTATCAGTTAATCTTAATTACATACCTTGAGTTATTGAAGAAGTTTCAAATTTTTATGATATTATATATGCCAAAAATAGGTGTTATAGTAAAAGGAGTTACGCAGTTATGAATTTTTTGTTTCAATTAAAATAAATAAATAATAAGTAGTGATTGGGAGTGACTCAATAGTCAATGATACGAATTAGTCGAATTACGATTAACCTCTTTTGGCTTTTTTCCCTATAATTTATAATTTATGAATATTATTATTTCTTATCAATATGAAAACATCTGTTTAGTTATCAGTTTGTTCTAGTCATCTGAAACGTGAAGTTCTGAATATTATTTTTTTAACCATTAAGGTCAGTATTCCATCATGTCATATTGTGTTAATTTGCCTAGATAATATTTTAAAAACCTGTTCATACGGAACTTGGGGATTTTTTAGATTGAAAATAATTGATAATAATAATAATAATAATTTTAGGTATTAACAAATTTATATGCCATTTCATTTTTAGAGTCTTAATTTTTTTTTAAAATGTCTGAAAACCAACCAAAAGAAGAGAACACTCAAAATGCATTATCTGAGTTGTTAGATGATGCTCTCAAAGATTTTGAAGAACCTAATGAATCAAATGAATCAGCCGATGCATCAAAAATATCTGAAGTTACTAATTTTAGTGCAAGTGATAACTTTTTAAAAGAGAGTCTTGAAGAAACAATGAAATCATTCATGAATAGTGATCAAGCAGAATTAGCTGCTGGCCTACAAGAACTAATTTTAGGAGATGGAGGATCTGATTTACAAACAGTTATTCAAGAATCATTAAAAAGTTTATCAGAAGCAAAACAAAATCTACCAGAGGGAAGTGATATGACTTCAATGTTTGCCAATATGGGTATTCAAGACGATATAAATTTAGATGAAGACATGCTGCCAATGTTAATGCAATTTATGCAGCCACTGCTGAGCAAAGATGTGCTTTATCCATCTATTAAAGATCTGTGTGATAAGTATCCAAAATGGCTTGAGGATCATGAACCAACATCTGATAAGGAAGAATTTGAAAGGTAAGTTATTGAAATGGATAATACTTAAATACATAATTATTAAAAAGTATTTATATGTTATAAAAGTTGTATTTAAAATTTTAGGTATACACAAATGTTTAGTTGTATAAAAGAAGTGCGAGATCATTTAGAAAATCAACAAGATACAGATGATGATGTCACTAAGACAAGGAAGTTTAAAGAACTCATGGAGTTATTAAAAAAAATGCAAGAATGTGGCCAACCGCCAGAGGAATTAATGAGAGATGTAGCTGATGGCAATCCAATACCGGACAATGTTGGCCAATGCACTCTTATGTAGCAAATGTTTATCTTGAAGTATTATTTTTATTGAGTCTTGTTTATTTATTTATTATCAGTTTGATAAATGAAGACTGAATAAATATAGGGTATAGGTAAAAGGGTAGCAGATTTCACCAATGTGAAAGGTAAACTTCCAAAGATAAAATACAAATTTTCTACATTTTTATCCTCTCAGATTTATAGATGTTTTATTAATTAGTTAAATTTTAAACTTATTAAATATTATTGAATCAATTTGCAGATCAATTATTTCATAATTGGTTCTTTGAACCAATATGAAATACAGATTTTTTTTTATATATTATTACTTATACACAAAATGTATTGTATTATGTTGTAATTTATCAAAATTAAATCTAGCTTTCTGTAATTCAAATACAATTATTCAATATATTGTTTACATTTATTTGGAATTTTTGTTTTTTTACTTATATTAATTAATTTATGTATAAAATAATATTTGCAAATTTATAAGTGTAACATAATTCTTAGGTACGTCATATATTTTCATTTATGTTACCCTTTAAGATAAACATGATGGCCAATCAATTTTTAGGAAATAATCTGCTACCATCTAACAATATTTCTTAAAAAAATTTTTTACATTGGATTGGGATAATTGATTAAAATTAATAACTAGTATTTGAGTGGGATGAATCAAAATGTCTCAATTAGTAGATTCTATGTCATATTTGTTATGATTAAAAAATATTACCTTTGATTTTATAATTTAATAAATTATCATTGACATTATATTATGTATGTTAAAAATTAATCTTCTGACAGGGTTTTTTTTTACTTTGTTAAAGTGTATACTTTATTAAATAATAAATTATTATTTAGATTTACAAACATTGTATACATTGATATTTTCTAAAATATAATATGGAACATAGTGCTTACATTATTGTGTAGACATTGTGATTATTTATTATATATACATGTATAATAAAATCAAAACAATAATTAGTATCAAATAATGATTTGTGTTATTCTGCTATTACCTATCCCTAATTCCTAAATATTGTTTTGTTTAAATACAGTAACATGAAATAAGTTTAGCCAAATGGGAAATTTCAAGAAAGATGGAGAATATTAATGTCAAAGAACAAACTGCTAATGTACACATTCTAGGCCAATTTTCAAAATTCTTTCTCTTTTGGCATGCAAGTGTAAAACTGTTATCTTTATTAATTTTTCGGTTTAGAGTAAGTAAATGTTATGAATTACGATTTTATATGAATTTGTACAAAGAAATATACTTATTTCGTGACCACATTAAAATGCCTATGTTTTCTACACAACTAAATTCAATATAATACTATGTTCGATCACAATAAAGTATCCTTTTAATTTTTATACTAACTACAAATTAACATGCACTTAAGATTTATCTTAATTTGTAATTATAACATAACATGAATCCCTGAAAAAACCCCTAAAAATTAAACACACAACGGAAAAAAGTTTAAATATATATAAGAACACATGCATACATAATATTACATTGTGTAATAAGTTAAAGTTTATAATTATAAATTGTTTTATATTGAATCATTAGGTTATTGATGAAATATAGAAACTAAAGTCAAAAAACATCAGTCATAGGTATATATCAATTACACAACTATAAAAATAATAGTATAATAAATCTATACAAAACAGGTGGTAGTACCAATAATATTAGTTTGTTGCTGAAGTTTACTACAAGGTGAATTGATACACACCAAAGGACCTACTATTTTTTTTTATTTATCTTAGAAACATCAAGTACTAGGACATTAAGCTATTAAACACTAAAGTTATTATTATTATTTATGATTATTTTATTTATTATGCATTATTATTGTATTATGCTTTTTCAAATAATAATCAACGGAATATTGTAAAAATATAAAATCATAGTCTTAAGGCACTCAGATGGACTTTCATTTCGTTTTTTTTCGACTCCCAACAACATACAATGAGTCTAACTATAGGTATACCACACTACTACACTAGCCAACAATAGATTTTTTTAATGAAACATCGTGATTTGTGACTTAGGTATAGTAAATAGTACCTAATTCATTAATGATATCGAGATTTCGTATTCCGAGTTTCAAAATAGTACGCGTAAAGTTAAGCACTGAACGATTAAATTAATGGTAAATCGGAAATCCATGATAAATTATTGATAGGTTTTATTGATATGTGGTTTACTTTGTCTGCATCATATGTAATTTTAAAAGATATTGTCATTTGTCACAGATTAGATGAAATTTCACCTATTCTCAATTCTGTGATATTGTCACGGATAAAGATAATAATATATTTACTATATTTTTTATTGCGTACCTATCTTATTATCGATATCTGTGAAAATGGTTGAAATTGCATTCGAACTATTGTGATATCTTATCTCTGCAGCTCCACCCCCGCGTATGATAGCAATTAAAACTTAAATGTAAACAAAATAAAAACAATTGATTTTATAGAAAATAAATAAAACTCCTAGTCATAGACTGACTTTTTCAATTGTCCGAAAAAACATTTAATTCGCCGATTTGGGTGAAAAATAAAAATATGAGCGGAAGAAGACTCCAATCCGGTACTATTACACTCTCACAATAACAGACATGTGGACTCCAACAAAAACAAACAAATATGGAGTTGGTGAGTTTTATTTTGAATTTGAGATTATTTAAAATGTATGCCTAGATTCTAACTTATATCTCGTTTTAGTTATATACAACTGGCATGGAGACAATCCATATGGATTACACCTTGAAATCGGGGACACTGTTCAGATCCTTGAACAATGCTGTGGTCAGTGTGAACATAATTTTTTATAATTAATTGAGTATCTGAATATATTTTAAAGCTATTTTGTGTATCTATTTTACAGGTTGGTTCAGAGGATTTGTTACTAAAAATCGATCTGTTAAGGTGAGACATTTATAATGTTATTTTGTAAGCGTTACTTATATACAAGCACTCTTTTAATATCATATCTCTTTTTTGTTAGGGTATATTTCCATCTACATACATCCATTTGAAGCCGTGTCGTGTTGAAAATGAAGGGTAAATTTAATACATTTATATATTTCTCATTTTCTTAATGTTTATTTAAAATTCCAGAACTTTTGAAACAGCAATACCATTGGAAGATACGGTTGTCCGAGAAGTATCATTGGTTTTACGTGATTGGAATTGTATTTGGAAGTCATTATATGTGGTATGTTAAAAATATATATACATGCTTATGAATTATAAAACAATAATGCACAAACAATTATTTTATAATAATATAATAAAATATACTTTTAGCTTTCACATTTAGGTACAAAATATGTGCACATATATAGGAATACAAAGAATAAATCCTAACAAACTCTGATAAATACAATAATAATTTAACAGTAGTTCATCTTATTATGTTAGTTTTTTCCTATGTAATTTAACAATTTTAAACAAATATTTAAGTTAGTATTATGATAGTATATTATAATATTAACTAATTATGAGTTTATGACCACCACTTTATATTTTTATTGTGTTGATATTAAAATATAAAAATAATATGGTATTTTGTTTTGTTTTTTTTAACTATACTTGATTAATACTTTTGTAGTAGTTAATATAAATTAATTAAATGTAAAAATATATCATTCTAGGAACGGGAAACATATAAATTTATTACATTACGAAAAGTTATGAGAGAGTTACTGGAATGGAGAAAACAATTATTAACTGGAACATTAACTCAAGATCAAACAAGAGAATTGAAATTAAAGACAACGGCAAAAATTGATTGGGGAAACAGGTAAATATGGAAATATTGCATGTTAATTGCTTTATTCTATTGCTATTAAAAGCAGGATTACTGGTTAATGCAAAGAAAATTGTTTTGTTTGGAAATAAACCAAGTGAACATTTTTAGAAGATGAATTGCTTGTTTTAAAACATATTTTTCATTGCATTATGAAACACTTATGCCGGGTTGCATAAATCACTAAATATTTATAGGAACAATTGCGAGCTAATGGTCCCTTATAAATAATTCAATGGCCCATTATTGGTTCATTAAATTTATTTATTTTCATGCAACTCTGCTTACAAATGTTTTTTTGTATAATATTCATAAGCAACAATGTCAGTGTAGTTATTTCCATCATTTAATATTTGTGTGGTTCTAACAATTTTCATAATATTTGTAAGATGGACGTAATAAATACAAGTGAGAAGATACAACAATTGTTGATATAAAACTATTTATTTTCTATACTTTTTAATTTTGTGGTTAGTCCATAGGCGCAATTTGGGTGGTTAGCACCCCCAATATATTTCATATTTATTTTCATTTTAATAGTCATTATGCAGGCATCCACAACCATAAGATAATATGAAAAAAAATAAAGGGGCTTCAGCACTTCCACCTTTTTTATTGAAATTGCGCCTGGTGGTTACTATAGAAATTTAAAATTTATTGTCCATACTAAGGAATTTAATTCCCCTGGGTTACATAATTAATAAATATGTTATAATCTGCATATAGTATCAAAAATATATATATATGATGGTACATTTTTTTTATACTTGAAAATAGCCACCGAGGAACAGTTTTATGACAAAATAAATTGTTTCACTGCTGGTTGCTTTAATCATCAATATCAGTATCTTGCAGTTTTATTTGCTTTAGTTTTTATGCTTCATAGTAATTATCTCTTGTATGATTTAAAAAAAAAATTGAATAGATATCGGTCTAATGTATATTTTTAAACCCTGTTCAAAATAAGATCATTACCTAGCAGCTGAATTGTGTGCATTGGTGTGGCTTTGATCCAAAGCACTTTAAAACAAATGTTAGATACATAGTTATGAACTACATTAAATTCCAAAACTTGTTTTTAAATTTAATACAGAGATTTCAGTAAGTTATTATTATAGCATTAATCAGTATGACAGTATATAAGAGTAAAAATATTTATTTACATAATTACAAGTATAATACAAGAATTCGGAGTTGTAAAGATTACAAATAATTGAAAATATACACTATTCTAATAGCAAGCATAAATATTAAAGATTAGTAAGAACTTTTGATATCTGTTAATAAAAGAAGTCAAACAACAAATGTGTATGAAAACATAAAGTCTGATACAGCATTAGTAGTTTTATTGAAAAGCTATCAAATAGTATAATAGTATTAGTATATACCTATTCATACTATAATATAATATTATATGCCTAATACAAACATATTTGTTCCCAGTTTTATACAATAACTGAGAAAAATATAAAATTTTCTAAGTCTTATATATACTAAAAAAAGTCAATCAGATTTATATTTATATGTTAAGAAATCATTATCTCCGGCTAAATTTATACAGATTATATATTTCTCTTCATTTGGATATCAATAACAACAAACCATTGAAAAATTGTTCTAATAGTTATAATTTATAGGATTGACGGCTCCCAAATTATAAATGACAAAAATCAATTTTTATAATTTTATTATATGTATGTAAATTATATTTTATATTAATAATATATTTATCATATTATGATATACATAAAAAAAATTATAAATAAGAAGATAATGAAGAAAAAATTGTATATAAATATTTTATGTTCAGTCTTAGTAAATATAAATCAATAAAAAAAATTATTTAATATTACTTAATACTAAATATTTAGTGAAATAGATAAGCTTGTTTATTTTTCATAATATGTTCAAATTGTGGCTCAAGTTTGGAAATAACTATTCTCATCTCCTCATCGTTCACTTTTGACCTATATGTTGTTTTAATTACAGCTAACGCAGAAAATGTGAATAGCAGGTTATCTCAATTTCTCAAAAGTCATAGAAAAAATGAATTTGTTCAACTTCATTTTCACATTTGCTTTAATAATACTTGATCACATTCACATTCTAAAAATATCAATTTATTCATTATAATTATTTCTACATATTTACCACTCATTATGCCATATATGTCATTTTTTTATATTAAATAATCATTTATTAAGATAATATACATTTATAACAAGTATTCTGAAAACATTTTGGTTTGTATACCTTCTATAATCAAAGTTTGAGTTGAAAGTAGAGAGTTATTTTCTTAGATATCTATACACTATACAGTATACACATTTAAAATTATAGAAATAATGACAAAATATAAAATTAATTTCTTAAACTTACAGCTCGGAAATAAAAAAATTTATGGAGATTTATTAATATTATATTTTACTCTAAAATGTTTCTAAAAATTATTATTTGGATAGTTGAATATGTAGGTCCTAAATAATCAACAAATTTCTGACCTATACTTACATTTAAATCACATCTTAAAGATTACGTTTACTATTACTAAACACAGAACAATACTTAAATAAGGGTCCTTTGAGGGTGATTTTTTAGTATGAAGGATATGGAATATTTTTTATATAGAAAATTAGGAGAAAGTATAATCAGTTTTCTTATAATAATCATTAGTAGATCTAACTCGATCTATTTTATTGAGACGGATACAAAAAGCACTATTTAGTATTTTCAATGAAATTAGTTATCTTAGCATTTTTTTAAGAGGCATCACGCCATACTGTTATGCTATATTGTAGAATAGACTGATAAAGTGATGTATAAACAATTTTAATTATGTCTAAGCAGAGAATTTTGTTTAAACAAAATAGTTCATATAATATAATAGTTTGTACGCACATATTGATATTTAGCATATGATAGTCCCATTTCATAATAATTTAGACTATTAGATTCATTACATATGGTAATTTCTTGATTTTAAAACTGTGCACTATGTATAATTACATTAAATAAACACACATATTTATTAATATGTTTTTTAACATATTCATATAAAGTAGAAACTAAAAGTTATATGAGCTAATTCAAAACTGGGAAGTATCTAGTTGAAAAGTCAAAGATTACTTTTATCAATAACTTAATTAGTAAAATAATGTATTTTGTGTTATGTATTAACTTGGTAACTTATGGTTATAAATAATTTTAACTTAACTTAAATATCTCTAATATATAATATATTACAAAAAATATATTTAAAAAAAAAAATGGCTTGGGTGTGCTCATTGGTAAGTTATACTAAAACTCAACTGTTTTACAAATAATAAACTAGCCCAGCTTAAAAAGATTAAATGTGTTATTACTTATTAACCAAAAGTATTTTAAGTTGGGTAGTCTTAGCAAGCATATTGTTACAATTGCAATTAAATAACGTTTACTGTCCTTTTTGTATTTTATTCCTTAAACATTTTTTTATGCATAATTCAGAAGTATATTTATTTAAGAAAATAAAAAGTTTGCAATACCCTCGTCTTCTGCCACCATATTTATCATTGACAAAGGGATTTTAACAATATTCCCATCAATTTATGTTTTCATTATCATGAAGAAGCAAAGTATTAATTAAAACTAAACATACTATCCTACAAGGAATCAAATGTATTGAAAACAAATTGAGAACCTAGTTTAATCATTCAAAAATTGTTTTATTTGTTCATCAACACAAGAATGAAGATTTTTCCTTGATACTGAATTTTCCATTAATTTTATATTATTAATCTATACACATTTTATCTTTATTAAATTTAACTTTTTTTTAATGGTTTAGAATGTAAGATTACAATACTATTGTTTATTATGTTCATTGAATTATGTATCCTTGTTAAAAGAATGTGTTTTTTCTGGACAAGTAGATTTTTTATCGGAACTGGTTGCTGGATTTTAGATTGTGAAATATTACTAGCTCATGATATAGAGTTTGTTATTCTTCTCAACCTTATACAAATAGGGATTCAGTGCCCAGCATTCTGATCCATGCCCATAGGCATGCAAAGACCTTGGCCCTAGGATATACACAGTGGCGTATACTGAGGAGTGTTATTGAAACTCCTCCTGGTGTTTTTTTACAATATATCATTTAACTTTTACAATGTAACACTTCCTATTAGAAATACCTGTGTACTCCACTGGAAATGCGATTGCTGAAGGGTGCCCCCCAAAAAACAAATGTTATGCATTGGGCTTAAAATATAAATTACCTTTATTAATTATTATTACTTCTTATTACAAAATAATAAGTTTTTAAGAAATTTTTTTTATGTTTAAAATTAAATTTATTTTGTGAAACTATCTAATTTTTCATATAATTAAGCCACGAGAATATAATATATTTTTCTTCTTAAACGTTATTTTGAAAAATGATTTATATCGTATTTAAAGTGCTTGTCACTAGCATAAGCAAATACCTTATGTCTTGTGTATGACCCTCACTATTACAATATTTTAATTCAATAGTGATTTTAATGGGGCAATGGAAAAAATCTAAATTGATAAAATTGTTGTTAGCTCTAGTTATAGTACCTTAAATATAAATGATAGTATAGAATAGTTTAACACACAAAAAGAGTTGAAATATAAGTGAAATAATAAGATTATATTATTAAAATAATAATACATATTTAATTCTTAGTAAGTGTAATATAAATAATTGATTAATGCATAATCATTAAATAATCCATAGTTTGTATAAAATGTATAATTGTCAAGTTCATTCATGTTTTATTTAAAATCATTATTTAATACATAATTAGTCGTTTAAATTTAATAATTAAAACCAAATCATCGATATTAGGAGACTTTTTATACAATATTTTGTTAAAATAAATCAACTAAATTAATTTTAAAATTTACAGTTCACAATATCTTATCACAATTAATTACAATTTCAAGAGAAGTTAAAACTCCAATTTAAAATCAAAATAACTTATTAAATACAACTAAAATAATTGTTTATACTAATTAGCGCCAAGATGCATCATAATGACTGCTAGTCAATCATTTAAATATAAAAGAACACGATATATTTATTTATATGTAGGAATAGTTAGGTTACCAATTGTTTAACATGGAAGATGTATAAAAATGTATTAAAATAAAATATGCAGTTGAAAAAATTTGGTCTTAGAACTAATTATTGATTACTAGTCTAAAATTTGAATAACACATAATTACTTAATGTTCAAAGGTTATGTAAATGGAATGTTTTTCTAAGTATTGAACACAGTTTGAGATTAAAAGTTTTCAACTCCAAATGTTTTTCTTATTAGATAAAAAAAAATTACAGACATTGATCGATTCTTATTGTTCATCAAGTCTAAGCCTCGGTTTCTTTGTGAAGTCTCAATTTATCCAAAGGATACATTGGTGATAATTCCAAAGTCGAAGGAGCAGTTGGTAAATTGTTTCCCAGATGTAATCGTGAACTGAGATCATCTAATACTTCGGTAAATTGTGCCATATTCATATTTTGCCCCAAAAGATGTAATAATAAGAAATCTCCAACCTAAAATAAGATTCATTTTTAAGATATTTTGTTAATGTATAAAAGGAGTATACAATTTTTAATTATAAAAACTTTGGTTTAACCACAAAGAATGTGGTTTTCATTAGTTTATTTTTAATCAAAAGTCGTTGAACTAGTGAAATAAAAATAAAATTATTAATTCGCAGCTAAAGAAAAAACCGTTTAAAAACAAAATTTGAAAGCCTACCTGTGTTTTCCTGATTAGTGCCGAAACTGATTGCGGTGTTCCAAATTTAAAACGGCGTAGTAAAATTGTTTCTCTAATTGAAGGCAATGTTACAACAGCGATACTGTATGCCAACGCCATTCCAGATATGATTGCCAATATTATGAACCAAAACCACAAAAATATGTAGATTTTTTCATTCAAGATATTCAATGCCAATACACAAAGTGCATCATGTGTCTGCAATGATCCAGATGGACCAAACTTGTGGAATGTGCATTTGGTTACTCTTGGGAAAACAGATACCATGGGATCAAATCTATTTTCTTGATCTTTTTGACTGAGTTCCAAAACTTTAATACCGTACGTGAAAAATTCACCACCCAAAAAACTGTCAATAAGGAACATGTTTCCAATCACATTCAAAAAATTAAATACCTAAAAATTACATTAAAAATTAAAATAAATATAAAATCAAGGTTTTAATAAAATAATTACTTCGCATAAGAAATATCCAGAAGCATAAACATTGTGCATATGTAAAGTATCAATTAAGTATTGAACTAATTGTTTTTGACGACTTTGTCTGTCTTCGTTTTGTCCAATAGAAGCACCACGTACGCCATCAGTGATCATGCGAACTTTACCTTCTTCCCAATTTTTCCATATCCAATGGGGTACATAGAATAGAATGCCTTGGAAAAATAGCATGAATGGCACCCATTGGTAATACGCATGGTATCGTACTTGATCGGTGCCGTCAACGTAATCTGATACACCAGGGTGAGCAACTTGTTTACCAACACCAAGATGTTTATCCGGCAATGTAAATGTATGAGTAATCCAACAAAACGTGTTGATGACATGCTCTGGTATACCACCATCAGTTATACAAGCTATAGGATCACCTAAAAATAAAGATTCCAATGTGACTCATCAGCGAAATAAATTCTGAAATTTGGTTTTGGCCTCGGCAATAATTGTAAAGGTTGCAGTTCAGAACTATAAGCAATAGATAAAATATTCTGAACAAAAAAATAACAAATTCCCGGGAAGCATACACATCTATTTTACGACAGTATTTTTTTCTTTTGAGGCGACAAAGGGAATTTATATCCTGGTCCAACAATTGTGCCACTTTGTAATGTTAATTTTTTTTTATGATTAATAATCTACTCTTCTAACAACCCATTCACTTGCTTATTATTTATATAGGTCCAGGGTCAATTGAAAGGAATTGCTCGCTTTATTACAAACAATAATAAAGCAGCGTTCACCCGTCGCGAGTTGATGTTCGCCGAATAGGTTTCAGTCATAGAATTCGCGTCGGAAAAACTATTGTAAAATTTCACACTCACCGATTAGATTGTTAGCCGTGACCAGTATACAACATCCAAAGAGTATCGCCGTGGTGAGCCTGTAGTGCGCTCTGAACACGGCGTTGTCGATGTTGGCCTTGTCCACCACGTAACGCACCTTAATGAAGCCGGCCACAGCCGACAGCATCGGAAATATGGCCATATCGTCGTCCTTTATGCGTTACACAACACCACAACGATCGAATCTAAATCGGGGCACATGCAAAACGACGATTAGTTTTCAATCGACGGCGATGGTTTCCTGAGTATTGTTGTTGTGATGTCGTCGTCGTACAAATCGCGCGAAAATTGAAAAACCACGGCCGGCTAAGCAGGGGGCGGGGGGTGTGTAGAAAAAAAACAACGAAAATCCACACCGTCCTCTGGCATGCCACCGGACATCGGCGGAGGTATGCCGTGTGTGCCTGTATAGGTATATTATAGACACGCAGACCCGCAGTAACAGGTATCTGTTGTCTGATGTCAACAGCCTCCCGTGCTGTGCTGTGCCACTTGCTACGGTCCTCCCCCCCACCCCCCGCCGCGCACACTCTTTTAGCCCCGCCACCGCTCCTCGAATGCACCGGAGTTCTCAGACGGTTGCCCGTTGTCTATTATTATGCTCAAAACTGGTTTTTCGACCTGATCGCACGCACACATAATAATATCACATACGCGCACGCATACCCGTAATAATAATTCCGACGCGTATACTGTATATATTATTGTTGTTAATATATATATATTTATAATATGTATAATAATATGTCTTCGGGTGAAATAAATCGTAAGCTGTAAAGGTACGCCGCCCAGTGACTCATGTAGTCATGTACCCATTACAATATGCACCGACCATTCTTCGAATTTTCCTCGTTCATCTATTGGCTATAATACCGTGCACACCACACCAACAACAATGACGTGCGACTCGAACAACAATATTCTGTTGCACAACGTTTTATTAGTTGTAAATAAATTGTAATAATGATTCATTTCACTCCCGCAGTCCCGCGTCCCCCGACGAATTAGTCGCAGAGAGGCGGCAGATGTTCCGAGATATCGTCATCGTCGCCAGTCGTGTTTTTATTAAATCAAACATTATCACGGGAAAAAGATAATATACGAATTCTGGCCTTTAGGGTAATATAATATTATAATAAATCAAAGTAATTTTTCTCCTCGTAAGATCCTCCGGAATTCGAACTTACCTCCCCTACTCTTTTCACATATTTATATAGCAGCACCGAGCACGACGGTGATGCGTGCGCACATCATACCCGTTTGCCTATCACTGTACTACACGCGTGTTACCTACATAATAATAATGTGTACAGACAAAACATAATTATCATTCGGTAGGTACCTATACAATAATACCTGTGTAAAAACGAAAAGCACGTTTACACACTGTATGATGGCAAACAATGGGAAGCGGCGACGCGCCAGACGTCATTCACTATACATCAGGTGTTCGCGGCGGCGTAGGTCGAAACAGCAGCAACAAGTCGTCGCGCAAAATATTATTGTGTGAGGATAAAATACATGAATATTATTACAACGATATTGATCAAGCGAAAAAACCTCAGAGCCGCTACAAGACCGCGACGCATCGTGCGCCAAACCGTATCTCATCTCGCACTGTCGCAATCGTTATTAAATGTATTATTCAATATTATATTGTGTAAATTGTGTACGACGACGATAATATCGTGTTGTTAGAGCGCACTATATTACGGGAAAAAAAAATATTATATAAAATCGTGTGAAACTAACCAGTCCGTCAGCAATGCCTCGGCGAAATATCGTGTGCCGCCGCCGATCTGGAATCGTGATATTATTATCTTATTGTGGTGGTCGTCGTCGTTACTTCGCGCGTATAACACGTATCGGTTGGCGATGGTCCGCATCCAGTCGATGCAGTCGCCGTTACTAGTGGTTCGTCGTTCGTCGACTGTATCGAACCGGTGGACGAACGCGCGCCGCGGCGCACGGGTTGGTCGCCGCCGCTGGAACGCAGAGCGCTCGGAACCGGTATCTGCCGCGCGCTTGACGATATTACGTGTTCACCACCGCGTTACACGCCGAGCCGGCGTTCGGCGGTGCAGACTGCGGTGTGACCGCGTGCGTGGAGGGGATTTACGAGACGGATTTCCGATCGCGTCTACGTTACAACAATATTACAGTGATTAGTGGTCATTACTTATTACGATGGATTTGCGGCCCGAAATCGGTCCTGAGATTCGTGGAAACTGGAAATAATCTCGTCGACGGCGTTCGTCCGTATTTTACGGAAACGCGCCACCGGTTCGGGCCGGTAGGTGGCGCCACCCCCCGACCGTTTTCGTCGAACGGGTTGCGTTTTCCCATTTTCATCTGTCTGTGGTTGTTGAATGATTATTATTAAGCAAGCCTCTGCTTTACAATATTGTATTTTGCATTTCCTCGAGGCGACCAGGTATACAACGGACAAATCGGTAATCTACGAGATTTAAATCGTTGTTACTTGTTGTCGATGTTGTTCAAATGTTACAAATAATTATCGTCTCAGTCTGAGACCATGCACAGCAGTTACATTGATGGGCGCACTCCTGTCGCTGTGAAAAATAGAAAGTTTGGACGCGGTGAGAATTCGTTTAGGTGTATATAATATGATAATATTATATAAAGTAAACAACGGATTTCCGTGCACTGTATAATAAATTGTATTGTTCCTCTGTGGGAACCGAGAATAAAGTGTGTTGGTTTCATGACACGACGAATAGTAAGATACGGCTTATACATTGCCGCAATTCTATACTATAGTTTTATATAAAAATGGTCAACATTTTGTAGAAACAGAGCTTGCTAAACGCTTATAATTCTAGATCGTTATTTTTGCTGTTTCTCCTCGTAAACTACTGCTCCATGACAATCATACAATTTTTTCCATCTTCTTTTAGTTGCAGGATTTTTTTTGGTTTTTGAAAACTGGTTTCTGATAGTTAACAATGCCTCCATTGCTCCGCTCAAAATCTAAAATGTCTACACAAAACATATACTTCAAATTATTATAATATTATAATTATACACAAAAACATGATTTGAACATCGAAAAATGTATATTTTATAATTCCGAGGTCTTTAGGAATATTTTAATTATTATATATATAAATTGTAAGTAAACCTTACATTTTATTGTTAGTAAATTAGTAACAATTACTACATAGGCTTAAATTGAATTTGAAATTTGGAGGGCTGAACTTTTTTTTAAAAATCCAGTGAGGACTTTCCACACCCCTCCTATTGTTTAAATTGTATTCTAGAAGACGAAACATATTTTCCATTATACAATTTATTCAACGATCAAAACAAATCAAATTGTCTTAAAGTTTGTAATATTATAACATTTATAACACTACCGATATACTGTATCTATCCAGTTTCCAGTTTTGTAATTTGAGGTCCTGAATTTTGGAACCGACCAAGTCCCCCAATTTGTGCCTATGAATTACCACGTGGAAAGCACTGCTACTGCATTACTGCAGTTATCGAATTAATATATGATATTATGCAACAACTATTTTACTCCAATAAATCAATCATCTCGGTTGTAGCCACTTGAATAATTTATTTTATAACGATTAAGGAATGCCAACTTAAGTATTATATAGTATATTAGTATAATAATTTTATTTTGTAGACGGTAGAGTTGAAATTTAATTAAATTAGATTATTAGAACAATCAATATGTTTTGAATTGTAGATCTGTAGTATTTTAATTTTAGCACGATACACCATTCAATGGTTAAATATAACTAACCACCATTTGCACCATTATCAACCCTCCTCCACAGTATATACAAATTCGCAATACAAACATATAGTACATACATGTTATTCCCGGTACTTCATCCATAGCCTATAATATTGTTATTTAAGGGGATTCGATACCGTCATTTTCTGTTTTTGTCTAACACACGCGTCACATAGTAATTTAGACGTATTTTTTGCCAAACATACTAATTGATCTAATGAAGCGATAATAAATCTGAAAACAGATTTGAATTTGTCGTCAAGTCTACTTGAAATCGAATTTCCCACATTTTTGATATTATCCCCCAAATTCCTAAAAATGTCATATTAAAAAAGAGCATTTAAAAATTTTTGTATTTCAATTTTCGGAGAAGTTAAAATCGAAAAATCATAAATGTGGGAAAGTCGATTTCAAGTAGACTTGACGACAAATTCAAATCTGTTTTTAGAATTTTTATCGCTTCATTAGATCAATTGGTATATTTGGCAAAAAACACGTCTAAATTACTATGTCACGCGTGTGTTATACAAAAACAGAAAATGACGGTATCGAATCCCCTTAAGTTAAACAGTTAGATCTATACTCACACTATAAACTATTTTCTCAACACATTTTAATTGTATTTGTCAAATTGATAGTATTTTAGATCACCTTTTATTGTTTCATATAATAATTTTATTGTTTCATATAATAATTAATAATGTCTGACGAGCGCCAAATACTTGTCTGTCTGCCACATGGACTTTATAACCAAATATCTCTATAGAGTATATAGACATTTAATAAACAAAGACGCATTTTGGAATTTAAACCTACAGGATCGTACAAACGTACGGTTATAAATTATAATACTACCATTGTTTATTCAATAAAACAAAACTCAAATTCGTGGTTTCAAAAATACGATATTAAAATTGTATATAAGAACTAAAAATACAACAGACGAACGTTTGTTGGTCGACAGGGACGCACGGAGGCTCATTGCCTCACCTGCTAATGCACCATCTGAGAAAATATTTTTTTATAACATGGACTTTTCAAATAAATAACAAAATATATAAATTCCTTCTTAGTTGATTTATTTCCATGGTTATGACCAAAAAAATCATAAAAGAACGAAAATACCATGCAATTGGAATTACAATTTTATTAAGGTTAGCATTATAATAAAATACTAAAATAGATAAACGTTATATGAGATAATGTATTATTATTTTAATAATCTATTTTATTCATCCTGGTTGAGCCTGAGTGGCCAAAACATTTGATATTTGATATCATAATAGTGTTTATATTATATTGTGATTAATAAAGTTGTGACCAGTAAAATTTTTAGTTAATCAAATTAGTTTTATTTTTTTATACTGATCATTGTTGTGTAACGTTTTGCGGTGTGGTGTGAGGGAGGGGGGCAAACCCCTTGTCTTATATTGAAACCAAAAGTATTTTGTACCTAGTGTGCTATATTTCTCTGATATTTTTCTGTTAGATGTTGAGGTCTGACCGTTAAGAAGTGGGGGACTGTGTATAATACAGTTCGCCCTGTGATTATGCATTTAATTAGTTCATTTAAAGGGCCATCGCCAGTGTCACAACTAGTGAAACTATAATCACAGTACTCCTTTAAATTGAAAGGGGTAAATTAATTATTTTTTTTAGTTTTTTATGCTTATTC